TGTAGAACTGAATGAAATATGTTAAATCCAACTAATAAATATCCGGCTCTTCTTGCTTTATCTTTCCCTCCACAGTGTACTTTTGAGGGATGTGGAAAGCGCTTCTCTTTGGACTTTAACTTGCGCACACACGTGCGGATTCACACTGGAGACAGACCGTATGTTTGCCCGTTTGATGGCTGTAACAAGAGAATTTTGCCTCAGTCCACCAACCTGAAGTCTCACATTTTGACACACGCGAAAGCTAAAGAACAATCAGTGAGATCGCTCGCTGAGGAAAGTCCCTAAAGACATTGTCTGGCAACAGCTTCCCGTTCAAAACCCACTTTGTATGTCGTTTCTAGAACCATTCTTTTCTAAGAGAATCTCAGTGCACATTTTGTGGGAAATGAAATGTGAATGAGGACCTGATACCAAACTATCCGTCAACCTTCTCATGGTATAGACCTGAATGAAATAACTTCCCGTTATGAGAGTTTCTTCTTTTGAAGATGTGATTGTTTTTGTGGACCCTCATTCACATTACAAGATGCTCATTATCCTGAGCCAAAGAAGCAAATTGTCCATCAGCGTGTCCGTTTTCTACCAGTTTGCAAAGACAAGGACTGCTTTTTAGATGTCTTCAAAGTGTGCATATTGTACACTTTTTAGAGCGTAGAGCTGTCATAATATGTGTGTGGTGCGCGTGTGTGTTTGTCCCTGAGACTTAAAACCTGTGAATGCGTTTCTTTAAGGAGAATGAGTTGGCATTCAGCTTCTTTTTTTCTTTTTTTTCAATGTAAATACAGCTTTTTCTTTGTGAGAGGTATCCTGTGCAGGTATCTCATTTTGTATACCTGACATGTATAAATGTTTTGAAATCATGTAGATAGAGATGTTGATTAGATTGTGTTTAACCAATTAAAACAGTTTTATTCAGCTTCAGGAAGTACTGCTACATAACACATGCCTTCTTTTGTAACACGATAACAATCTACTCAGTATGTGAAAAGACACTTTTCCATTGAATTCTCTAATTTATTTGATGATATGGAATAAAGCTAAACTCCCCTGTGTTGTTGTCAAGAGCCTGAAGTTCATCATCATGCTGCGTGGTAAATGCGCTCAACTAAGTGTTCAACGAGTTTGCATCTACAATTATTATGATAAAGATTATGCGTACTTGCGTGTGGTCCCCGAGCTCGGAGTTCTGCCCGAACCCAGAGTACTCCCCCGTGGTAAGAGTAGATGGAACAAAAAGAGAGAAGGTGGGATGCTGATAAACTGTCAAGGAACAAGTGTGGGTTCTGCTGATATTTATCTTGTCCTAGATTGATTACTGATTGCTCTCCACTGGTGCTGATTGGGTGAATTAACTGCACCTGCTCCTCCCGAACCTTGTTTATCAAACCTCATTTAAAGCTGAACAATCCTTGCTTTTACAATCGTTTTATTTTTACAAATGACTGCCTGAATGTGATTGGGTCTGCTTCATGGTAATTGTCAGAAAGTATTGTTGCCTTTAGTAGAAAACAGTAACAAGCAGTAGTGAACATAAAATTTGACAATGAGTCTATTTTATATATACTTGTTTTATGTTTTGATCCTAAAATATAACTAACCGTAAATATATTTAATTATTTATATTATTTTGTGGTAAGTGGTAGTTGCATAACTGTTAATGGAAGGACAGAAATCTCAAAATGTAATTAAAAACATAAATTTGTGTTGCGAAGATGAATTGAACTCTTGAATTTGAATTTGGAACATGAGGGTGAGTACATGACAGAATGTTCATTTTTGTGTGAACTAACCCTTTAAACTCGTGTTTTCATGCCTTTTAACAATGTCAAAAACAATCTCAGCACTTTTAACACTAAATAAGTTTTTTTTTCATGTATATTTTGTGAGCTCCAATACAGTTCAAGCAATTACAATTCCTTCTCAAAAAATTTATATTTTCTCTAAATAGCATCTAAATCTACTTAAATCCAACACTTTATACACAAAGGTAGCGTTCATTTTCAAAATAAAACCTTTAATTTGTATTACTTCAGCAAAGCAACATCATTGTCTTGAAAATATTCATGTACCTTTCAGAGGGAATCCTGGACTCAATGCTTCTTTCAAAAGAACAGGTTTTACCGGTTGCTCCAACAACATTTAGTGCACAAGACATGTGGTAGAAAAACGTTTCAATCTCTCCAACGACCAAATAGTTCCAGAACAACAAATCTATTCAATATTTAATTCCCTGAGGACCTCATTTACAATAAACTGAAATCAACCCATTAAAAAAAAAAGAAGACAAACAGGCCAATGGATTATGCAGCTCTCAAGTATGTTCCACATTCAGGCTGGTTTCATTACATTCTACATCTAAACCTTGAAACATCCTAATGTTTATGGATCATAAAAATGATCTGTTTTAATTGCATTTTAAAACAGAATGGCATTCAGAGCGGAAATGTACATTTAAGGAAAATTTCACTTAAAATCCAATCGGTATAAAATAAAATTCCTGTCACAGTGTTTTGTTAAAAACAAAGAGGCTTGTTAAACATTTGGTTGTGTCCTATATCTGGAATCCACAGATCCTTAACTCATCTGAGACAAATCTTCCCCATCTGAAAGAACTGAAGTTATATGACCTGTTGGACAGGGAGAAGGAGGGTGGCTGGGTTAATTAACCAGGAATTAAAGGTTCGGTTTGCATTGAAACGACTTTGTTTTGCGAGAATGATTCTTAGATGACGGACAGCAATGAAATCTTGATCTGATTTTACAATGTATTGTCATGTAGATGAAAAACCTAATATCGGTGCGTTTCTCTGAATAAAAAAAAACAGCAGCAGCTCAATCCATGAACGCTGCAAGAAGAACAGGATAATTGGGTGTTCCCCATCCCGTTACTGGATCCCATGAAGGAGAGGCACAGAAACCTTTCCCTTCAACTTTATCATCCAGACAACTCAGATGACATCCCTCAGTCACCTAAGAGAAGAAGAGAAGACATCAACAATTTACTGAGAGGATATGGTTACTAGAGCAGGGGAACTAAATGCATTAACTGTGACAACCTCTAGTTACATAAGCTCAATTTGTTGTATTTGAAAAACGTGCTACAGTGCCTTTAATGATCATTTCTATTATGAATGTGGGACAGTGCTATACTTTAAAACATCACTTCATTGTCACTGTAAATCTGGGCATGTTTGGAGTTTAGTTCTGAGATGAGCTGACTACAGGGGGACAGGACTGTCAGCGAAAATAAAAAATAAAAAAAACAATTTACAAAACTTACATCATAAAGACCTTTGCCTTGCAGTTTGTAAAGGCGAGGGTTGATGAATCCTAAGGAAGGAAGGCCCTTTAGGAAGCGCTGGTCATTTATTAGGGAGAGAATTCCACCCACTACTGGAGTTGATGCCTTGGAAAAATATCCAGATTACAAAACAGAGTTTTACCGGCTACTATGGCTACTGTGGAAACAAAGACACCAACATCTTGGATGCCCTTAAGGTAAGCTAAAACATAAAAAAATTAATTCAAAGTGAACTATCCCTTTAAGTTACTTCACATAGCACATTTTTCTTGCCGTTCTGCTGCACATTACTGTTCAAAGGTTTGGGATCATACATTTTTTTTAACCTTATGCTCACCCAGGCTACATTTATTTAAATAAAAATACAGTAAAAGAGTAAAAAAAAAAGAGATTATTGGTTATTGAAGGTTACTGATAAATTGTAATAATATTTTACAATATTATTTGAAATGCAATTCATTTAGAAAATGGCAGAATTTTCAGAAGACATTACTACAGTCTTAATTGTCACATCTTATCATTTCTTAACATTGAAAAGGAAACCATGATACATTCTTTTAGGATTCTTTGATGAATAGAAAGTTTTGATCAATATTTATGTAAATCCTTGCTGAATAAAAGTATCAATTTCTTTCATTTTTTAAATCTAGCTGACCCCAAACCTTTGAAAAGGTATAGTTCATTGTTTATTAATTTAGATAAAATCTTTCACTGTTCACACAAATATGAGCAAACCTGTAATATCACAATTGCACTTGTAAACATAAAATGTATTATTTACTAACCGAAGTTCCAGAAATCCATGGTACAGGCACACGGTTAGTGACAACCCAGTAGTTGTCAGACAGCGCTGCTAAGTCTGGGTAGGCTCTTCCAGTGGTGTTGAAATATGTCTGAGGAGGTAGAGGCTGAACACTCTTCAAATACATTCCTACAGCACCAACCTATAGAGAACAAAACACTGTTTGTAAGGAAAAATTCAGCACTACCTAGAATACAGAATAATACAGTGCAAAGCCTTTTCCTTCCCAGTGTGACATGTGAAAAAGAAGCTAGCCATCCCAAGCTAACTAAAGTGCACCAGCTGAGGGCCATGAGACTTAGACCTGAATCTTCTCAAAACTCTATATAGAGATCCCACATAGCATTTATGCCAGTATAAATATCTCAATTTCTCAGATCTGGAAGAGTCTAAAGCCTCCATTTTTGCACTCAGGTCTAAGTCTCACAGCCCTCTATCAGAATCCAGAGTTTTGAGAAGATTGGAAAAACGTAATTTTTCGCCCGAAAAAAAAAACCCAAAGGGGTACCACTGTCGTTTTTTTTTTTTCGGGTCGAATTTTTGAGTTTCGATATCTCAGCTCTGGAAGGGTCTAGAGCCTCCATTTTTGCACTCAGGTTTAAGTCTCATGGCCCTCTATCAGAATCCAGAGTTTTGAGAAGATTGGAGAAACTTAATTTTTTGCCCGAAAAAAAAAAAAAATGAAAGGGGTACCACTGTCGTTTTTTTTTCGGGTCGAATTTTTGAATTTTGATATCTCAGCTCTGGAAGGGTCTAGAGCCTCCATTTTTGCACTCAGGTCAAAGTCTCACAGCCCTCTATCATAATCCAGAGTTTTGAGAAGATTGGAGAAACTTAATTTTTCGCCCAAAAATGGAAAAAAAAACGAAAGGGGTAACACTGTCGTTTTTTTTTCGGGTCGAAATTTTGAACTTTGATATCTCAGCTCTGGAAGGGTCTAGAGCCTCCATTTTTGCACTCAGGTCAAAGTCTCACAGCCCTCTATCATAATCCAGAGTTTTGAGAAGATTGGAGAAACTTAATTTTTCGCCCAAAAATGAAAAAAAACGAAAGGGGTAACACTGTCGTTTTTTTTTCGGGTCGAAATTTTGAATTTGATATCTCAGCTCTGGAAGGGTCTAGAGCCTCCATTTTTGCACTCAGGTCAAAGTCTCACAGCCCTCTATCATAATCCAGAGTTTTGAGAAGATTGGAGAAACTTAATTTTTCGCCCAAAAATGAAAAAAACGAAAGGGGTAACACTGTCGTTTTTTTTTTCGGGTCGAAATTTTGAATTTTGATATCTCAGCTCTGGAAGGGTCTAGAGCCTCCATTTTTGCACTCAGGTCAAAGTCTCACAGCCCTCTATCATAATCCAGAGTTTTGAGAAGATTGGAGAAACTTAATTTTTCGCCCAAAAATGAAAAAAAACGAAAGGGGTAACACTGTCGTTTTTTTTTCGGGTCGAAATTTTGAATTTGATATCTCAGCTCTGGAAGGGTCTAGAGCCTCCATTTTTGCACTCAGGTCAAAGTCTCACAGCCCTCTATCATAATCCAGAGTTTTGAGAAGATTGGAGAAACTTAATTTTTCGCCCAAAAATGAAAAAAAACGAAAGGGGTAACACTGTCGTTTTTTTTTCGGGTCGAAATTTTGAATTTGATATCTCAGCTCTGGAAGGGTCTAGAGCCTCCATTTTTGCACTCAGGTCAAAGTCTCACAGCCCTCTATCATAATCCAGAGTTTTGAGAAGATTGGAGAAACTTAATTTTTCGCCCAAAAATGAAAAAAAACGAAAGGGGTAACACTGTCGTTTTTTTTTCGGGTCGAAATTTTGAATTTTGATATCTCAGCTCTGGAAGGGTCTAGAGCCTCCATTTTTGCACTCAGGTCAAAGTCTCACAGCCCTCTATCATAATCCAGAGTTTTGAGAAGATTGGAGAAACTTAATTTTTCGCCCAAAAATGAAAAAAAACGAAAGGGGTAACACTGTCGTTTTTTTTTCGGGTCGAAATTTTGAATTTGATATCTCAGCTCTGGAAGGGTCTAGAGCCTCCATTTTTGCACTCAGGTCAAAGTCTCACAGCCCTCTATCATAATCCAGAGTTTTGAGAAGATTGGAGAAACTTAATTTTTCGCCCAAAAATGAAAAAAAACGAAAGGGGTAACACTGTCGTTTTTTTTTCGGGTCGAAATTTTGAATTTTGATATCTCAGCTCTGGAAGGGTCTAGAGCCTCCATTTTTGCACTCAGGTCAAAGTCTCACAGCCCTCTATCATAATCCAGAGTTTTGAGAAGATTGGAGAAACTTAATTTTTCGCCCAAAATGAAAAAAAACGAAAGGGGTAACACTGTCGTTTTTTTTTCGGGTCGAAATTTTGAATTTTGATATCTCAGCTCTGGAAGGGTCTAGAGCCTCCATTTTTGCACTCAGGTCAAAGTCTCACAGCCCTCTATCATAATCCAGAGTTTTGAGAAGATTGGAGAAACTTAATTTTTCGCCCAAAAATGAAAAAAACGAAAGGGGTAACACTGTCGTTTTTTTTTCGAGTCGAAATTTTGAATTTGATATCTCAGCTCTGGAAGGGTCTAGAGCCTCCATTTTTGCACTCAGGTCAAAGTCTCACAGCCCTCTATCATAATCCAGAGTTTTGAGAAGATTGGAGAAACTTAATTTTTCGCCAAAAATGAAAAAAAACGAAAGGGGTAACACTGTCGTTTTTTTTTCGGGTCGAAATTTTGAATTTTGATATCTCAGCTCTGGAAGGGTCTAGAGCCTCCATTTTTGCACTCAGGTCAAAGTCTCACAGCCCTCTATCATAATCCAGAGTTTTGAGAAGATTGGAGAAACTTAATTTTTCGCCCAAAAATGAAAAAAAACGAAAGGGGTAACACTGTCGTTTTTTTTTCGGGTCGAAATTTTGAATTTGATATCTCAGCTCTGGAAGGGTCTAGAGCCTCCATTTTTGCACTCAGGTCAAAGTCTCACAGCCCTCTATCATAATCCAGAGTTTTGAGAAGATTGGAGAAACTTAATTTTTCGCCCAAAAATGAAAAAAAACGAAAGGGGTAACACTGTCGTTTTTTTTTCGGGTCGAAATTTTGAATTTTGATATCTCAGCTCTGGAAGGGTCTAGAGCCTCCATTTTTGCACTCAGGTCAAAGTCTCACAGCCCTCTATCATAATCCAGAGTTTTGAGAAGATTGGAGAAACTTAATTTTTCGCCCAAAAATGAAAAAAAACGAAAGGGGTAACACTGTCGTTTTTTTTTCGGGTCGAAATTTTGAATTTGATATCTCAGCTCTGGAAGGGTCTAGAGCCTCCATTTTTGCACTCAGGTCAAAGTCTCACAGCCCTCTATCATAATCCAGAGTTTTGAGAAGATTGGAGAAACTTAATTTTTCGCCCAAAAATGAAAAAAAACGAAAGGGGTAACACTGTCGTTTTTTTTTCGGGTCGAAATTTTGAATTTTGATATCTCAGCTCTGGAAGGGTCTAGAGCCTCCATTTTTGCACTCAGGTCAAAGTCTCACAGCCCTCTATCATAATCCAGAGTTTTGAGAAGATTGGAGAAACTTAATTTTTCGCCCAAAATGAAAAAAAACGAAAGGGGTAACACTGTCGTTTTTTTTTCGGGTCGAAATTTTGAATTTTGATATCTCAGCTCTGGAAGGGTCTAGAGCCTCCATTTTTGCACTCAGGTCAAAGTCTCACAGCCCTCTATCATAATCCAGAGTTTTGAGAAGATTGGAGAAACTTAATTTTTCGCCCAAAAATGAAAAAAAACGAAAGGGGTAACACTGTCGTTTTTTTTTCGGGTCGAAATTTTGAATTTCGATATCTCAGCTCTGGAAGGGTCTAGAGCCTCCATTTTTGCACTCAGGTCAAAGTCTCACAGCCCTCTATCATAATCCAGAGTTTTGAGAAGATTGGAGAAACTTAATTTTTCGCCCAAAAATGAAAAAAAACGAAAGGGGTAACACTGTCGTTTTTTTTTCGGGTCGAAATTTTGAATTTCGATATCTCAGCTCTGGAAGGGTCTAGAGCCTCCATTTTTGCACTCAGGTCAAAGTCTCACAGCCCTCTATCATAATCCAGAGTTTTGAGAAGATTGGAGAAACTTAATTTTTCGCCCAAAAATGAAAAAAAACGAAAGGGGTAACACTGTCGTTTTTTTTTCGGGTCGAAATTTTGAATTTCGATATCTCAGCTCTGGAAGGGTCTAGAGCCTCCATTTTTGCACTCAGGTCAAAGTCTCACAGCCCTCTATCATAATCCAGAGTTTTGAGAAGATTGGAGAAACTTAATTTTTCGCCCAAAAATGAAAAAAAACGAAAGGGGTAACACTGTCGTTTTTTTTTCGGGTCGAAATTTTGAATTTCGATATCTCAGCTCTGGAAGGGTCTAGAGCCTCCATTTTTGCACTCAGGTCAAAGTCTCACAGCCCTCTATCATAATCCAGAGTTTTGAGAAGATTGGAGAAACTTAATTTTTCGCCCAAAAATGAAAAAAAACGAAAGGGGTAACACTGTCGTTTTTTTTTCGGGTCGAAATTTTGAATTTCGATATCTCAGCTCTGGAAGGGTCTAGAGCCTCCATTTTTGCACTCAGGTCAAAGTCTCACAGCCCTCTATCATAATCCAGAGTTTTGAGAAGATTGGAGAAACTTAATTTTTCGCCCAAAAATGAAAAAAAACGAAAGGGGTAACACTGTCGTTTTTTTTTCGGGTCGAAATTTTGAATTTCGATATCTCAGCTCTGGAAGGGTCTAGAGCCTCCATTTTTGCACTCAGGTCAAAGTCTCACAGCCCTCTATCATAATCCAGAGTTTTGAGAAGATTGGAGAAACTTAATTTTTCGCCCAAAAATGAAAAAAAACGAAAGGGGTAACACTGTCGTTTTTTTTTTCGGGTCGAAATTTTGAATTTCGATATCTCAGCTCTGGAAGGGTCTAGAGCCTCCATTTTTGCACTCAGGTCAAAGTCTCACAGCCCTCTATCATAATCCAGAGTTTTGAGAAGATTGGAGAAACTTAATTTTTCGCCCAAAAATGAAAAAAAACGAAAGGGGTAACACTGTCGTTTTTTTTTCGGGTCGAAATTTTGAATTTCGATATCTCAGCTCTGGAAGGGTCTAGAGCCTCCATTTTTGCACTCAGGTCAAAGTCTCACAGCCCTCTATCATAATCCAGAGTTTT